CCGCGATCTCTCGGGGCTCGGGCAGCGGTGCCCCGACGTCTCGCTGAGCTGCCCGGAGCAGCACTGTCCTGCCTGTCCGGGGGTTGCGTGCCCGGACAACAACGCCTGCTACCAGCTGGTGGGCGAGTTCGCTGCGGCTGCGCGCAGCGGACGGGCATCGCCGGCGTGCCCGGCGGCGCAGGTCTGCGAGGCCTGCGAGAGCTGCCTGGACGCCTGCCCCGCGTTCCCGTGGCTGTTGATCCTGCTGCTCTGCTGCCTGGCGGCGGGCTGTGGCGGGGGAGGCTGCCTGCTCGGGAGGCTGAGTGGGCGGCGTGGCAGGTCGGCCCCAGCAGCGTCCGAGGCGGAGCCCTTTGTGGACAGGCCCTTTGCGACGACGCCCACGACCCGTCGATTGAGGAATGGCGCATAGGGCTCTCGATATCGCTGAGAAGCAAGTGCTCATCGATTTCTTTGACGACGAGAACGGACTGAACTGGCACGCTCGGATCCTCTTGATCCCAGGGGGTCAGGGAAGATGGATTGTGTGCTCGCCGACGTTGGCCGTGCAGGTCGCCGATCTCTCGACGCATCGGATCCGGATTCTACGGCGGGGAGAGCCGATCGACCCGGCGTACCTTCGCGAGGCGTTCGTCTTCGACGAGGAGCTGGACGAGGGAGAGCTGGCTCGGATCCGAGCCGAGGCGTACGAGCTGGCCGAGGTGGCGGGCTTCGACCTGACGGGCTTCAGGCCGGCCGCTGGCCCAGCGGCTGCAGCGGAGAACGCCACGTGGCGGGTCGCGGACCCAGCCCACCGAGCCTTTGGGGAGGTCGTTCCACTGGATGCGCTCCGAGATCAGGAGGGTTGCACGCTGGGCGACAAGGTGGGCTGGGTGACGATCGACGACACGGGCGTCTTGATCGAGCAGGTCGTGGACGACAGGTTGGAAGCATGGCTATCGGCCAAGCGGTGTGGGCCAGGACGCGACCCCCGGCTGCTGGGGGACGTTCGGGACCACCGAGGGCTGCGGTACCTGCACCCAGACGATGCGACGAAGAAGCAGAGCAAGACGAAGATGCCCTACGAGCCCTTCGAGGGGCCAGAGGCCGCCGAGGAGTTCATGGTGAATATGCTGCGGGTCGGCTTCAACTTCGTGACCCACAACCTGGACTGGGAGGCCAAGAGCGGCGTGTCGCCGAAGTCAGGGTTGGCCCGCGAGCACCGGCATCTCAGCAGCGCGCTCTTCGTGGCGCAGTCGGTGGATCAGTACGACCTCACGAACAGCCTCTCGAACGAGATGCACATCAGAAGGTTGATTCAGATCGAGGCAGCGGTTCGGAGGAACCCGAAGTCGCCCGACTTCGAGGGGCTGGAGGTTATGATGTCCCACCCGATCGGCACGGGCGGGGAGGTGACCACGAGGAACTTCACCAAGTGGGTCGCCGAGCGGCAGAAGGACGAGGGCTTCCTCCTCAAGCAGCAGAGGCTGTGGCGGGAGGAGAGAGCGGCAGACGACAAGCGCCAGGCTGGCAAGAAGGATCAGCCGGGCGCGGGGGCCAAGTAGCCCTTGCATCGAGGGGCGCCGTCGCGCTCAGCGCTGGGTCCCCAGGCGCTGGGCTCGACGCGGCGGTGCCGCTATGCCTGGGGAAGAGAAGGGAGCCCGACGCCATGGAGAGCCCTTCCCAGTTTTGGTACCAGAACAAGTTCGACCTGAACTACGCGGTGCGCCCCGCTATCTTCGGCAAAGACTTCGGAGGCGGGCCAGCCGTGAGCGGCGGATCCACTCGGTGCTGGGGGCGCTCAACGCTCTGGAGGCCGGGCCGTCGCGCCCCTTTCGCTCAGCCGGGCGGGGGCGAAATGCAACAGGAGAGCGCCCCCTCGGGCCGAGCAGCTTATCGGTCTTCGAGCGGGTGGCGCGACGAGTTGGGGCCGCCGGGGGACGCCCGGCCGACCTCAGCGAGCAGGGAGCCCTCAAGGAGCTCCTGCGCACCAAGGACCTGTACGGCCTCGAGCCCAGCAACCTGGGATCGTACGCGTACGAGCGGGTCAAGATTCTCGAGTGTGGCATCACGGTCCGCGACGTCCTGGACCTGGTGCCGCCTGACCAGCGTGACATGCTGGCCCACCCGGAGAAGCACATCCTCCGTGACAGCTCCGACCTCGAGCGCGCGAACGAGCAGGAGATGCCGTTCTCGCCCTTCTGGGACCCGAAGCTGCGCTTCTCCAGGAAGGAGCGCTACCGGCTGCTCGCAAGGCTCAAGGAGCTTGGGCTGCTGGGGTTCCGACGGAGCATCAGAGCGAGGATGGGGATCTTCTTCGTCTCGAAGAAAGACGGGACCCTGCGCCTCATCGTCGACGCGAGGGAGGCCAACCGTATGTGTCGCCGCCCGCCACACACGTGGCTCGGGACCGTGGCGGCGCTCGGGTCCCTGGACCTTTCGGACAGTTCGATCGGCTCGGACGGGCCGGCCGACGTCAACGCAGCCTCGGTCGACCTGTACAATGGCTTTTACCAGTTTCGCAACCGCAAGCTGGGCTCGCTGTTCGGGATCGACTTCGCCGAGCGCGCTGACGTCTGGGGGGTCAGCGAGATCTTCGACGAGGAGCGGGAGTGTTTCGTGCCGGTGGGGCCGGACGAGATGCTCTTCCCGGTCTTCGAGGGGCTGCCCATGGGGTGGTCCTGGGCGCTCCACTTCTGCCACGCCATCACCTCCGAGGCGGGCAGGACGGAGACAAGCCTGCTGCAGGATCGGCACGCACCAGAGGCACCGCGGCCCGAGCTGGCCCACCGGTTGCCGTACGTTGACAACGCCAACGTCATCGGGCTCAGCCGAGCCGCCACGCAGCGCGCCCTGGACGCCGTCAAGGGCGACCTCGACAAAAGCGGGCTGCACTACCATGAGGAGAACTCTCCCGCCGAGACGCTCGAGCTGCTGGGGGTGGAGTTTGATGGTCGGCGTCGTCTGCTGCGTCCCAAGTCTCGACGCGTTTGGCGTCTCCACTTGGCGTTGCGCGCCGTGCTGCGCCGAGGCCGCTGCAGCGGGCTCGTGCTGCAGGTCCTGGTCGGCCACATCGTGCACCACTGCCAGCTGCTGCGCTTCGGGCTCTCGGTGCTCGACAAGGTCTGGTCCTTCATGTCCGAGAGCGGCGGCAAGGAGGTTCGCCTGTGGGCGTCCGTCAGGTGGGAGCTGGAAGTGTCCTCCTGGCTCGTGTTCCTGGCCGAGGCCCGGCTCAGCGCAGAGCCTGCCAGCATCGCCTTTTGTGGCGACTCTTCTGCCGTGGGCTACGCGCTGCACGTCACCTCCGTCTCGGGGCCCGAGTTTCGGGCCGTGGCACGCTACCGAGAGCGGTGGCGCTTCGACGCAGTCGAGCGGAGCGACGACGGCTGGGGGGCCGTGGGCGGCTGGTCAGCCGAGTGGCGAGCCTCGCCGGATCCAGCGGGGTCTCTCGGCGGCGGCCCCCGTGACCTCGGCGGCGGACCTGCGATTCGCTGCCGGCCATGGCGCGACATCGAGACCGTGGAGCGGCCAGCCGAGGAGGTGGGGATCCCGCCGCTGCCCGACGCGCTGCTCGCGAGCAAGCGCTGGGCGATGGTCATCAAGGGCGCGTGGCAGCACGACGGGGTCATCCATGAGAAGGAGGGCCGGGTGCTGCTCATGGGCCTGGTGCGGGCCTCGAGGTGCGTCGGCCTCCACGGGAAGAGAGTTCTCTCGATTGGGGACAACCTTTCGAGCCTCTGCAGCTTCGAGAAGGGGCGCTCAGGCAGCTTCGCCCTTCGGCGCCTGTGCCAGCGCGCCGGGGCCCTCTCCATCGGCTGCGAGCTCGACTGGTCGCTTCGCTACGTGGAGAGCAAGAGGAACCCGACCGACTTCGACTCGAGGGCAGCCGACCGAGGCGAGCTGGCCGCCGGGAGCTCCGTCGCTGGCCGGCACGGCCGAGCGGTGCTGCAGCGATGCTCGCGGGCCCCCGACTCGCCCCCAGCCCGACCCAGCGCTCGGGTCCGCCGACCTCCGCCTTCGCGGTCGGGGCTGGGGCGAATGGGGCCGCGGCAGACGTCCGCAGCCCTCCCGACCCCTACGAGGGTTCGGACTCCGCCCGAGCGGCGGTCACCTCTTGGGCGCATGGGGCCTCGCGAGCATTTTGCCGCTCCATGCAGCCCAGGCGCAGCGCGGCCCCGTCGACGCACCCGCCAGCGGGGCCCGCGAGCTCGGACTGAGCAGCACAGAAAAAGCAACAACCCTGTCGTCAGGACGTCAGCTCAGCATCAGTTCGTCGTGGAGATCTTCGCCGGCTGCGCCGCCTTCTCCGCCGCCTGTCAGGAGGCCGACCTCAACATCGGGTGCCCCATCGAGATCTCGAGGGGCCCCCACATGGACGTCACGAGGCAGAGGACCCAGAGGCACATCAAGGGCTTGGTCAAGCAGGGGCTCGTGTGGTACCTCCACTTGGGGACTCCGTGCACTACTTGGTCAAGGGCCCGCACGACGGGCTCAAGTTCAGCCACTCTTGGGGGCCTACAGTTGGCCAAGTTCTCGTTGGGGCTCATCAAACTCTGCAATCAGTATGGCGTCTACTACTCGCTCGAGAACCCGCGTTCCTCGAGGCTCTTCTCCTGGAGGCCCCTTAGGAAGGAGCTGCAGAGGCAGAACGCAATCTTTGTCCGATACGATAACTGTGCGTACGGTGCAGGGTATCTCAAGCCGACCCTCCTGGCCACCAACATGCATGCCCTTCAGGGGTTACATCGTCTATGCCCAGGAAGCCATCATCATGAGATTCTTGAGGGAAAAGTACTTTTGCCTCCAGGGCCCGGCGAGGCTCGAGGGCGGTGGGCCTGGAAGACGACTCTGGCAGGGCGCTACCCTCCTCGACTTTGCCGCACCTGGGCAGCCATCTTGGCCCGGGCGGCTCCAGATACGGCCCGCGGGGCCGATGCCACTTCGCTGGAGCAATGGGAAGCTGACTTGGCGCGAGCCGGAGGCTGCCCGCTCCCGACCGACATCTTCAGGCCTCACTGCCCCAGGTGCTACCGCAGCCCGTGGAAGGACGCCGTCAAGCACTGGGGCCAGCGCGTGGTCTGGGTCGGTCCTCGACGCGGAGCTACCAGATCGAGATCGACGACGTGCTGCTAAGGCGGCCTCTCGCCGGGCCGCCGCGGGACACGACCCCGGCGACCGGTTCCTGGAGCGCAAGACCGTCGGGAAGGGGACTCTGGTCAACTACGAGACGTGCTCGTCGGACTTCGTCCGCTGGGCCAGCCAACAAGCCCCACCCCGGGCACTGGCCCCGCTCGAGCAGCTGGACGCCAGCCTCTCCGCGTACTTTGACTTTCTCTTCTTCGACGGCTGTGAGCCGTGGGCTGGTCGGCACACCTTGTTCGGCTACGCCCGCCTGCATGGCATCGTTGCGCCCTCGCGCAACCTGCCACATGCTGTGAAAGCTCTGGTGGGCTGGGTGAAAGCCTGCCCAGAGCTCAGCCGTGACCCGTGCCCTTGGGAGGTGTTCGCCGCGATCGCCGACCACTGGCTCGAGCTGGGCACGACCGAGTCCATCCTTGCCGCCGCCTGCGGCGCCTTGCAGTTCGACACCTACCTTCGCCCAGCGGCCGCGGTCAGCCTGTCCCTCGAGCACGTGGTGTTGCCCTCAGGTAGGGCTGGCGACCGCTATGACAAGGTGGCGCTGATCGTTGCCCCTTCGAGTGGCCCAGCGCCTCGGCCCAACAAGAATCAGCAGTTTGACGACACCGTGATGGTTGGGTCTATCGACCCATCTCGTGGTTGGCTTCGGCAACTTGTTCGACAGCTCGTTGCCAGAGCCCGTGCACGTCGTACTCAGCGCCTGTTCAACGAGCTCCAGCTGTCCTCCTACGAGCGCCTGTTCCGCGAGGCCAGCCACCGACTAGGGCTGGCAGCGCTGAAGGTGTCGCCGCACACGCTGCGACACGGTGGCCCGTCTCTCGACTACTTGAACGGCCTTGCCACGCCCCCTGTGCTGAAGAAGCGCGGGGGCTGGTTCAGCGACCGCTCCGTGGCAAGGTACGGCAAGGAGGGGCGACTCTTGAGGCAGATCAGCCGCCTTTCGCCTGCACAGCAGCAGCAGTTCAAGCGTGCCGCCAGCCGCCTCAGACAGAAGCTGCTCTGCGCCACGGGAGTTCGTTTCCAGACTAGCGCCTGATCACAGTTTTTTGAGGAGGCTTTTACGATCTTTTTCTGTGAGTTTTGCCCATCCCACCCACCCGTGAATCATAATATGGGTTATGGGTGACGGCTGCTGAATCTTCTCAAATCGTCTGCTCACCTACTCTTCAGAGCTCCCGGGAGCCTTTGAATCGTTTAGCCTCTCTGAGGCTGCAGGCGTGTTTGTATTCAGCCAGCCCTTCTTCTAGCGAGACTGCCTCGTGGAGGCGACCAGTTGCCAGATCTGGAGTGATTCGTGAAAGAGATCGGCGAGTGCTCCGGGGCTTCCCTCTTCTCTCGCCTCTCCCTCGCGCCTTCTGGTCAGGCCCTCGGGTGGAGCATCTATTCATCAGTTGCACGATTGTAGATTCGGAGTACAGTTTCTGACCCGTGGTGACGCCTCGTGTCTCCACCGCCTGAGGGGAGGTTGATTGTCTTGATGCGTTCCCTCTCCTCCCCTGGCCTCCTCCATAATCGTTTTGGCTCACAGTGACCCACCCACCCTGCCCTGTGTAAAAAGGCAGGCCTTTTTCCTTGGTGACGGCTGCTGAATCTTCTCAAATCGTCTGCTCACCTACTCTTCAGAGCTCCCGGGAGCCTTTGAATCGTTTAGCCTCTCTGAGGCTGCAGGCGTGTTTGTATTCAGCCAGCCCTTCTTCTAGCGAGACTGCCTCGTGGAGGCGACCAGTTGCCAGATCTGGAGTGATTCGTGAGAGAGATCGGCGAGTGCTCCGGGGCTTCCCTCTTCTCTCGCCTCTCCCTCGCGCCTTCTGGTCAGGCCCTCGGGTGGAGCATCTATATATATATATATATATATATATATATATATTCGCGAGGAGCATATTCTGGAAACTGCCAATGGTGATCGTAGTGTCAACGAGCACTACGACATACAGCTACCTGAAGTGGGCTTGAGGAGTTCAGCCCTCGCCTTGCCAGATTGCCCATCATTATTATCAGTTGGACAGTTGATTGAGGTTGATGGCTGTCGGCAGCTTTGGGGTCCAGAGCTGGGCTACTTACTTCAGGATCCGGGGGGCCAATGGTATAAGGTTCCCGTCAACAACAGAGTTCCAGAATTACGACTCGACGATTTGGTGATGATACCGCCGCCACGACTGTGCACTTCGTCAGCGCCCAGACGTCGTCAGCGCAAGCGTTCATCCGCACGCTGCAACGACATATGCTGGTGTTGCAAAACTACAGAGCAGTCACCACCTACAGATGAGCTGAGGCCCCACATAGGGACCTGTCCCAAGAGACCAAATGTCGGCGAGGGAGGAGGAGCACGGGCACGGACCGCCACGGTCGAATAACCTCCCGACATAAATAATGCCGAGTCCAACGTGGATGCAAACATCGACTCGCTTACGTCTCAGACACAGTGTTATCCTCCCACATGCGGGGGGCCTGCAGATATGGCTCACGCAGATACCGACGCCAAGTCGACCTCCCTCGAGGATCTGCCTGTAGAGACGCTCAATACAGTGCACCATGATAGTGATCGCGTTCTTCCAAACAGACAGAAGAAACCGATCGACCCTATGCATTACATGACCCACAGTCCAAAACATCCGGACTGTGAGATTTGTTCTCGCACGATGGCGCAGAACGCTCCGTGCCGACGACAGCGCAAACCACATCCACCGGCAGACCCCACCGACGAGGACACAGCCTACGAGGCTTTCGTCCCGAAGAAGTTCGGGGAGGCTCTAACCGCCGACCATATCGTTTTGGCCAGAGACGATGCCGCCGACAAGCACGGCGACAAGTACGCACTTGTCGTCCTGGACAGATACACCGGCATCTTCATGGCGTACCCAGCATTACATCAAGACGCAGCTACTACAAAGGCATCCTTCCAGCAGTTCATCGCCGCAAACGATGAGGTGAAGCACATATAAACAGATAATTCTGGAGAGCTTCAGAAGGCATGCCGCCAACTGGGATGGAGACATGACGCTAGTACTCCTCATCGTCCACAAACAAATGGATTGATTGAGCGCGTTGTCAAGATCGTCATCCTCGGTACAAGAGCTGTGTTGCACATGTCTGGTCTTGGACACGAATGGTGGAAAGAGGCCATGCAAGCCTTCTGCTGTGGACATAGTTTTGTGCATCCATCCACGGGCGTTGCCGCCCTTAGCGACGAGCACACTGAGAAGACAGCTCTTGAGATACGTTTCGGCGAGAGTTTTCCCGGGCACTGCGTTCCATTTGGTGCTCGGATCTTTTGGAAATGCCTCAATCCCGAGATCAATAATGAGACTGCAAAGTTCAAAGAGAAGCTCGGGAAGGGTTATTCATGGGTTATCATTTACACTCCGGTGGACGCTGGTCTGGTGATTATCTTGTCTTGGATACGGCTACATACGCCAAGAACCCAGACCGTACCCAGTGAAAGAAGGTACCCTGCGACATCACAACCCCGAGGCGCACGACGAGGTCAAGGCATCTACTTCTCGCCCTTTGGGCGACAAACCTATGCCCGACCTTCCACTTGCCTACCCCAAGGAGTGGGATGATCCATCTATGATGACGATGGACGAAAACATCGCTGATGCCCCACCTTCGGCCTCCGAGGCTGCAGCACCGGCCCCGGAGCCCGATTACTGGGAACAGCGTGGATATTGCGTCATCCGACACATCCGTACCCCACGCAGAAAATTGTTCATACCAACAGACGACGTTATGAACATACCTGTACCTGTTGATCAGCTCGATGCGACACGAGACTTCGAGACGACGTCTACCTTCGACGGAGAAAGTATCTTTCGCGATGTTTGGGATGGTGTCAGCGCCACAGACCACCGAGAACTGAGTGAGCCTTGGACCGGCCTGGTTCGATTCTATGAGCTCCCTAAAATGTTGCCAGACGGCAAAATGGTGGTCCGCGGCCGCGAGACACGCGCACAGACTACTACGCGTCCAGACCACATTCTTCCCGAGCATTGGAAGACCTTATCTCGTGGACAGCAAAAGAAAGAGATCGAATACGCCGAAGATATCAAACACGCTCGTGAGACTCGCGACCGAGCTGCACTTCGAGCGTGGACCCGACAGGACAAACAAGCCCAACATTTCCGTAATACTACAGCTGGTGGACCCACATGGAATACCGTGGAACGACGAATCACTTACGATACGGACAGCGGCGCTGTCATCCGTGACGAGGACGTCAAGGGCGTGACCAACAAAGATATTCTGTATGCCAAACTACCTGGTGGACCACGTGACATTTTTACAGTACTATACTACCGCCAACCCTCACCACAGCCTGCTTGAGCCGCACGTGCTCTGGTTCTTGTCGACAGTGAGGGGGGCGACTTCGGGACCGTGAACCCGCTCGCACGCAAGTTCACCCCGTCGGTAGCAGTACCTACTATGCCACGCGAGCCAACATGAACACCGGCACACAGAGACAAGATTCTTGACTCACCGTGGACACGCCCAGCCCTTGTTACCAGAAACTTGAGTAAGAAAGAAGTTGCCGCATAACCGCGCGCACAGGAGGCCCCACGCAAATAATACGAGCGCCTCGAAAAGAAGCAAACGTGGATGTTGGAGTCTGTTGCTGAAAAAGAGGATATTGAATCACAGGCGATTCGTGCTGGGAAGAAAGCTCACTTCTTCAACATATTGGAGCTATCTTCAGTCAAACATGAGGAACTCCCTCCTGATCTACGTAAGTTTAAGGGCCGAGTGGTGGTTCAGGGCAATACCGGCAAAGATGAAACAAGATTGGCCGCCATATTTGCCGACGCCGCATCCAGCGCGTCGCATATCGAGGCTTCCAAACTTTGTGATGCCACCGCATTGTTGCCAAAATATGCGGGCGAACAAAGCGATGCACCTGGCGCATGTACGCAGGCATTGCTATGCGTAGACGGACGAATCGACCCAGTCGATACTTGGATTACAATACCCAAGTGGCGCCAACCTGCATCCTGGTCTAAATGCAAGAATCCCGTGTGTCGACTACGCTTGGCACTATACGGACACCCTCTTGCAGGTGTCTTTTGGAAACGAAAGTAGCGCACATGCTTGGAAAGTGTAGGATTTGACCCTCTCCCAGGCTGGGAATTTGTGTGGAGACACAACGAACTGGGATTGATACTTTCAGTATATGTGGATGACTTCAAATTAGCAGGACCAGCCATCAACCTACAAGCTGGTTGGGATCATATCCGCAAAAGCGGCATTGATTTGGATCCGCCTACCCCGTACTCTCAATACCTTGGCTGTGGACAACAGGCGTACGAGGTGCCACAGAACGTCTTTGACAAAGAATGTCTACCATTCGACCTATGTTGCCTGCACATAGTAATAAGGAGTACCATACAGCCAAACAAGTTCGTGGAATACGACATGACATGCTTGGTTTCACTGATCAGTCTATAGAGCGCTACCTGGAGTGCGCTTCCAAGCGTACCCAGGGGGCAGGGTCACGTCGTAAACGATCCGACTCACCGAGGGCTTCGCGATCCAAATCGCCTAGCTCCTCCGGGTCGGTCGCGAGACCCACTGGCGCGCTCAACGCGCGGCCGCGATCATCCAGCCCAGCTGGGTCGGTCGACAAACCTTCCACTACGACGCAATCAACGACAGTCACATGCGATGACCTACCCGACGCCGAGACTCTTGGCATCGAGGACACTTCCTTTACCGAGTCCGATTACTCCGACGAGGGTATCTTCGGCCAGGACGCGGCGAGCGTATTGATGAAGATTCTCTACCTGGCACGCTGTTGTCGTTTCGATCTTTTACATCCAGTATGTATGCTAGCCAGAGAGATTACAAAATGGAATACCACGTGTGATAAACGCCTCCATCGGCTGATATGCTACATCAAAACGACGCGTACCCATTGTTTACATGGATGGATAGGTGATTCTTCAGACAAGCTATCCATCATGCTCTTCCCTGACGCCTCGTTCGCCGATTGCCGTACCTCCTCCAAGTCCACTACCGGCG